GGAATAAGCAGCTCAGTGATGCAGCAAGTGCTTAGCATGAGAGAGATTCTGGGTTCAATCCCCAGCACCCTCAATCAATCCATGCAGGATAATGAATAGTTTAAACCAATATTCCAGAAAGTATTTAATGTTTTTCTATAAAGTAAGATAAATACTAGCACTGCACACACAGGATTGTCTGAAGGTAAAGGAGTTTAAGCCAGCATGGCAGTGCACACCTGTGATCCTAGCCCTCTGGGAGGCTGAAACAGAGATGGAAAGTTTAAGCCCAGTCTTGGCAATTTAAATTTAGTGAGACCCTGTCTCGTATGCCTGTAATCTAGCACAGGAGAGGCTGAGGCAGAAGGATTGCTGCAAGTTTGAGGCTAGCATCGGCTACACAGTGAGTTGAAGGCCAGCCTGAACTGCATAGCAAAACCCTGTCTCAAAAACACCAAAACCAACAATATAACAGCAGCAACAACAAACCAGTGGTTGGGTAGCTTGGTATACAGGTCCTGGGTTCAATCCCCAGCACCACACCCACGGACACTAGTGTTGGACATATAGTCAGTTTTAATAAACAATAGCTATTCTCAACTGTGTAACATACAGATTCCCAGTAAATTTAATTGACATGCTAGTAAGAAAAATGCCACCAAAGGTGACAGCAAAGAGAAAAGGCCTTTCTCAAGGGCACTATAGTTAAGGAGAGATATTATCAAGTGGGTAGTTCTCCAGTTGTAAAATAGTAGCAAGTTCTAAGATTACAAATGATTTTTTTCATTTGCTGAGCATATTTTATTTATGTACAAGGAAGCTTGAAACTGTTAGGATTCTTGGTTTATAAATTACTTTTGAGTTTCACACCAAGAGAATTTCCCACCATAAACTGACATTCCCAGCTGCTGGAAGACAGTTGATGAGCTGAAGGAAACTGAAGAACCAGAAATGAAGCCAAATAAAAAGGAGACCAGGCTTAAGGATGACAAGGAACAGGGCTCTCTAAGCATCTTGTCCCTGGTAATGAGACCCTACGTGCACTGCCATTCCCTTGGTTTCTGGGATACAGCCAACATGGAGCAGATACTAGAATCCAATATGGAACAACCTTTCAAACTGTGCTTCTGGTCTACAAGGTGGTTCTATTTTTTTCTTTTTGGAGACAGGGTCTCACTATGTAACGCAGGCTGGCCTTAACTCATTATGGAGCCCAGACTGTCTTCAAACTTGCTGTGATCTTCCTGCCTCCGCCTCCGAGTGCTGGGATCACAGGGGTGTGCAAGCATGCCCAGCAAGGTCTTTTCTGACAGTTGAGCTCAGGCTTCCTAAGTGTTCTGTGAATCTTCCCTGCCTAGAACAATGTGCATAGTATGTTAAGAAGCCTTCTGATGAAGTTTCCCTAAATTTCAGAGTATCCTGAGAAAAGAACAGAAGAAAAAACTGTAGCTGGCAGCAACTGGAACAATATATCCATTTTGCTTCCTTCAAAACAGGATAAGATCAAAGAAGGCAATTCATTTATAATTGAAACCCTCTCTTTGGCATCTTATACATATAAAACTTTATGCTGGATATGTAGAGTGACACAGAACAAACCCACCACAGAATCTATGTGAAGAATAAAATGCTAGACCCAGTCAATGACCTAGACTAACCCTGAATTCATCTCTGTTTCATAGTTTAAGCCCTCATGATGTAGCCTTACATCTCCAGCTGGAAAAGAGCTTACCTGGTACCCAGATACTAAATAAAAATACAGGACTGGGGTTATAGCCCAGCAGCACAAGGGCCTGCCTGGCAAGCGCAAGGCCCTGAGTTCAATTTCTGGAAACTCCCCGCCAACAAAAATAAATAAAACAGAATAAAAATACATAGTCACTAACTGCTAATGCTCATCTTTTTCTTTTGAGGTACCTAAAACTGCTGGAAAGTTACGCTTAAAGGAAGAATAAAGAAAGCATGAGCCGTCTACGTTAAGAGACTTTGGTTCAAAGTCTAGCTCAGCTACTTAACTACCTGTATGGCATTAATCTTGACAGTGCCCGTGTTCTCTCCTGTAAAATCGAGAGAATCTTTTGTAGTATTGGTGCGCATACGTGTGTGTATATGTGTGTGTGTGTGTGTGTGAGAGAGAGACAGAGAGTGAGAAACAGAAACAGAGAAATTAATCTTATCTCCTATCTATCTACAGATAACAGACACAATGTTCACTCAATATATGGTGTTACTATTTCTGTTCATACGACTAGTATCTTTATTGACTGAAATACTGAAAATCATGGGTGACATTATCTGACCACAGGACAAATGAGAAAAGAATATGGAAGAATCAGCAGCATCTAGAAGCAGGACAGTGAACACTGATGATTCAGAGAGGAGGAAGATATGGCCTTTACTAAGGCCAGGCTACTGCCAGTCATGGATGAGGCACCAGTGCCTGCACCGGAGCTGCAGCTTGCTTGGAGGTCAGCACCTGCACCTCCACCTGCTCCTGGACACCCTGGAACAAGCTAGACTAAGAACGCACAGCTTCTGCCCAAAGAAACATCACCATACAGTGACAGGTTCACATTTAGAAGTGTGAACAGCATTATGTTGCTGAAGATGAAAATTCAACCTGGACCTGGGATAATTTATTATTTTTTAATTTTTATTTAATTAATTTATTTTGAGACAGGGTCTTATTTTGTAGCCCAGGCTGGCCTCGAACTCATAGCAATGTTCCTGCCTAAAAAGTATAGAATGGGCATGCAGTCCCAGTTCTTGGAGGCTGAGAGGTCAAGGCCTCCTGGCCTACACAGTGGGCACAAAGCCAGCCTGAATTACAGTGAGACTCTGTTAAAAAAATAGTAATTTTTAAAAGTATGGAATGTCTATAGGGAAAAGGTGCCCTAGAGAATACATTTTATCTAAACCTCATTATTCTCCCTTTCTCCCTCCCTCAACTACTCTATAAGGCCTCTCCCAGCACACACCCCAAGCTGGCCTGCCCACTGCAGGGCCTCAAACCTCTGCAGCACCTGCCTGCTTCCCAAGAAGAACAAATCCTTTCTGGAAAGACATCCCTACAATCCCAGCATTTTGCAGGAGGACTGCAAGTTGGAGCCCAGCTTGGGCAAATGCAACTTGGAGATTTAGCAAGACCCTATCTCCAAATTAAAAATAAAAAAGGCCTGGGGATGTAGCTCAGTGTTAACACACTGAGTTCAATACCCAGGGCTACAAACCAAGGAACAAATAAAAACCCACCAAAACAGCAAAAGAAAAATTCTGAGCAAAAAGTTTCTTTGGAAATACAGGCTAGGTTTTCACAAAATTTACACGTTACCCTTTGGATCACTACTGAAACTAAAGAGCTGGTTTAGAAATCCACAGTAAAGATCTGGGTAGGATGCTGGAAGGCCCTCTACACACAACTGCATTACGGTTCTGCTTTGTGACAAGGTAGCTAGAGGAAGGGGAAAAAGCAAACATGAGAATACTGTACGTAAACAACCGTGGTCAGCGTTCCTCACTCACAGCAACTGCTCCGCACTGGGTACAGACCATGCACAGCTCGGCCCACCCCCAAGGACGGCCCACACCATGCAGAACGCACTCTCACGGCAGAGCCTCTGCAGAAGCCAGGCTGGCTGCTAAGATCCACCAGAGTGCTTTTGCTTTTTAAATTTCTAGTTAGCAGCTGTATCATGCATGCTGGGAAACTGTGATTAAGAGACAAATCATTTGCACACTGTGAAAAACCTCAAAGGCGAAGAAACAAGTTTTGAAGGTTAGGGTCAGGGAAGTCATTATTTTAAGTGTATGCTTCTCAGGGGAATAACAAGGCTATTTTTAAATCTTAAATGAATCACATCTGTCTGTCTGTCTGTCTGTCTATCTATCTATCTATCTAGTTATCTATTGAGACAGGGTCTTGCTATATATATAGCAAGGCTGGCCTTCAACTCCCAACAATCTTCCTGCCTTAGCCTCCCAAGTACTGGGACTACAGGCACACGTTACCATGCCTCACATCAATTTTATTCAAATTACTTGACTCGTTAAAATCCAAAAGGGCAAAATTACAAGGAACCCAACAAGAACCAGTTTTATAGACTGTGTTTCAAAGACACTGAGATCACCCCAAACTAAGTCACATGCAACTGCGGGCCAGCGGCTAGAAGCAGCAACCTGGTCAGAGAATGTGGCTGCATCAACCAGAGATCATCCCCTACTACTCAAAATGAAGTCTGAAGCCACCGTGTCCACAGAAGAAGATGCTATTTTCACTTGATCTAACCGTAGTGTGGATGTTTTGTTCCATCGGCACAAGCTATATATATACTAAAAATACTTTTTAAAACCTCATATAATAAGCTAGACATGAGTACTTTCCTTTCTGCCATGAATCCTTGAACCAACCAATAATTAAAATTTGGTTGTAAACTTGCCCCACAAGAGCACTTTTTCCCGTCAGTGAGTGCTACAGATTGAACTCAGGGCCTCACGCATGCTAGGCAAGTGCTCTACCACTGAGACATCCCCCTTCCTCAAGAAGCACAATTTGTTTTCAAATTAAGAAAAAAGAACAGTGAGTGGTAACAGGGTTTCTAGCCAACTTTGCCTAAAACCCAAGGTCCAGTGCTGAGGAAAAAGGCATGCATCCAAGTCATCAGCCTTCTCACGCTGGACACAAGGCACGCCTTGGCTATGGAAAGCATGTAAGTAGCAGTTACAGATTTTCATGCCAACAAACCAGAGATTATTGAGAGTGATTAGAGTCTGGATGGAACCAAGGCACAAGCTTTTTGCCTTTTGGATGCCGAGTCAAAAGCCACAAGCACACACATTTTCCATGGCAAGCTCATACCACTGGACTTTGGTTGCCGGGGTCGCTCTCGTTCCTGGACTGCAGACTTTGGCAAAGGTGGAGTAAGTCCTCGGGACTTGGTAGGTCTCATGTAGCCTTTCACTGGTTCTGTTGTTCTGCCTTTATCTTCCCTCCTCCCTTCGGCCAGTGTTTTTGGTTCAGATTTTTCTGCCATTTTCTGAGATGCTTCTATGATGGTATCTTTGAGTTCTGGGAGCTGGAGACCCTTAGAAGCAGTCATTACTAATTTATCATCCATCCCTGCAGGAGGAACTTCAACTTTGCCACATGAGAAACTGGAATGGAGTTCTGGTATTGGCAGGGAAACACATTCCAATTCTGCAACTTTACAAGCCAGACTAATTTCTTTTGATTTATCCTTTTCACCTTTTGGAGGCAAAAGAGTCAAATCAGTCTCCTTCTCCAAATTCTCTAAATCCCTAGAGTCTGCATCTTCAGCATTTTGGTCCGCACTGAAGTTGAGTTTTTGTGTTTTGTCTCCCAGTAAGTCAGGAGTCTGGGCTGGAACAGAGCCTCTCTCAGTTACCTGCTTTAGGTTCGCTGGAGATGCTGGGAAGCCACCCCGGTCTGTCTTTACTCCGAGGCCTTGGGCCTCTCCTGGCAGGCTCTGGTCTGCGGGCAGTCGAGTAAGAAGGTGACCTTGTGCTGGGTCTGGAGTTTGCTGGACTGAGCACTTAGAGGCATCGTGGTGTCCCAACTCGGATTCTCCCACCACATGCCCTTTATCGATCCCTGGTTCATTTTTCATAGGGTCATCGAGCTCACCTTTATTCTTATGCCAGGGATCTCCATGACTGTTAACTGTTTCTAGGGCTGCTGTGGAAGTCGGGACAACTCCTGCTGTGCTTGTCGTGGACAGAACAGCAGAGGGGGCCTTGGGTCTTTCTTGCTCCAGGGCTCCATCTTTCTTGCAGTTATCTTCTACTAATAATTTGGAAATTGGGGCCGGGGCTCTTCCCTGCCCACTTTTTGACAAGGTGTCTGGTAAGGAATCCCTGTCCTTCGCTACCGGCGGAGCAGGAGGGAGTTTTTCACAGGTTGCCAATCCCAGAGTCTCTGGAGTAGCTGACTTTATCAGCCCTGACAGTGTACTGGGACAGGTAAATGTAATATTTCTATTTTCATCCACATAGCCCATCCCTTCAATTCTGTGGTTCCCAGCGGTTTCCATGGCAACATGTATTTTTGCTGCATCTATCTTATTCTCCAGAATGGGCTTCTCAGGAAAACTATTTTTAACCTTTTTATTTTTTCCATCATCCCTGTTATTTGAGTTGTCAGCCGCTGCGGTGCATCCCTTGGCGGTTTCAGTCTTGTTCTCCTCAGACACTACTGAGGGAACAAATCCTGCCACCTGAGTTTGGTCTGGAGAGCTCACATCTGTCACCCTGGCAGCTGGTTCCTTGATCGTGCGTGTTTTGCTCCCCTCAACAGCCCCAAGTTCAACAGAATCAACCTCAACACTCTCACCCTTTCTGTCAACTACTTCCACAGTGGGTGCATCTGATGTATGTGAGAACACAGGGTCTGGTGCCTTGGGGAAAATGAGGCCCAGTCCCTTGTTTTTCAGGGAAATACTACTAGTACTGTCTCCATCCTTCTCCACAAAAGCTGAGTTGAGGATTTCCTCCTTGTCCTCCATTCTAGCAGTCTGTATGGGGTAATTATTTTTAAACTTTTTGGTTTTGCCTTCATTATCTCTCTTCCTGGGCTTTTCAGAAATCCAGGGAGTTGACTCATGATCCACCCAAGGCCACTTTCCTTGCTTGCTCTGAATACTGACACTCTGAATTTTGACTGAGGCTCCTCTTTCTCTCCTATTAGCATCCGAAGGCTGAGTCAGGCCTGACCCGTTTTCCAAGAGACTTAGGCCCTGCATGGCACTTCCCACCCTCGGGCTGGTCAGCTCCTTGGGCTCCCCCATCACCCCGGCCTCGGGGACACCAGTCACGGTCCCTGGTAGCTTTGAAGAGCCCAGCCCCAGCCCTGCTGTCTCATCCTGGCCAGCCACGCTTTCAGTCTTAGGGATGGGCTCTCCGGGCCCCAGAACAGCCCTTCCATCCTTCTCACCATCCAGAAGCAACGGCAGCTCTGTCTTGGCTCTCACCTTCCCGGCGCCCGCCCGCACTCTCCCAGAACTCCCCCGCCCTTTCTTGCTTTTGCCGTCACCGGCCACTCTCTTCACTGGCTCATCCCCTTGCCCAGAGCCCTGATCTAACACTTGCCCATGTGGCTGTTCAGACGCAAAGATGCTGATTTCTTCTCTTGGCTTGGAAAGTGCTTCCCTTTTTGGTTCTTTAACCTCTCTGGCTTCTTCTGAAAACTCTTTCTGTTTGACATCCTGCAGGTTAGTCATTTTGCTTTCATCATTCCCTTCTTTTAGACTATTTTCTATTGGGTTACTTGCTGTCAAAATGGCTGTCAAATTAGGCAGTTCTTCCACTGATGGGGGTTTTAAAACCGCACCCAGAGCCTTCTGGTCCGAGACAGGGGAGCAAGTCATACCCTCTTCGGGTCTGATCTCTGAAGGAGCTGCCAGTGTGTGCATAGGCACCTCTGTCAGGGGACCTTTCAGACCAGGAGGGGCCCCTGTCTGGCTTTTATCCACAGGAGTCTCCCGGTGGGGTGCAGGCCTTGGCTTGTATTCATCGTGCCGTGGCAATTTCTCGTGGCTCGGTGGCACTGAACTGTTATCTTTTCCCTGCTTCTCTCTTCTTAGTTTGGGCTCAGCACTGACTGCAGTTGCTGGAAGTTCTTCTGGACATGAAGGGGCTCTAACGCTCTCAGAGATGAAATTCTCGCCTCCCTGTCTGGCTGCTCTGGAGTCAAGCACATGCTCCCTCCTTCTCATGCTTTCTCTGGCAACAAATCCACACTCTGGGCTGAGCACGGTAGATTGGCTGGAGAGGACGCCAGGTCTGAGGGAAGCAGCTGCAGAGGGATGACCCCTGGGCTCATCTGCACTGCTGTCATCCCACTGCCCCCCAACCTGGGGTTGAGCGTATCTCTTTTGCTTTGGTTTCTTCTTCTTTTTCTTCATCATCACTGGGGTGCTTTCTGGGTCCCAGGCCTCCCTGCCAAGATCCCTCTGGGGTTCAAGGAAGCCCGTGTGAGCGTTCTTCTTTTGGCTCCCAGGCTCACCACAGAAAGACGAGCCAGAGACCCAATCCGACTCGGCCCTAGGGGCAGAGCCCAGCCTGGGCTCAAGAGTCTTCCAAGAAGAAGAGCCTCCCGGCAACTCAGGAAGGACCCTGGCAGGCCTGGCCCGCGCTGCCCTGCGGTCACTGGGTCTGCAAACTTGTCTGCCTTGTGTGAGAGGGGCACCTGCAACACATGAAGTCAGCTAAAATTCCAACAACAAATTGCTTGTTATTGTTTAAAAAAAAAAAGTTCATTTAGTGACTCAGTTAAGTAGTCCATTTTCATTCACCGTCACAGTTTTCCAAACATTTTTCACCCCTTACCTGGGTTTACCAGAGGTCATCATCTCAGGCATGGATCTTCTTGTCAAAGACACTAAACTTTCAAATACTGAAATCTTTTAACCTCTATAATGAGCATAATAAGTACTATGACTCTCATAATAAGCCTACAAATCTCATTTAACTTATTTCTATTTGTCATTATTTTTAACTCATACATAAATCCCAATTCTACAAGACAGCTAAGTTTCTAGTGCTTGTCTCTTTTTTGCGACATTTATTTAATGACTGAACAAATTTATTCTTGATTTTCAACAGAATTTGTAATTCTAAGAGTCTGTCGCTAATATTACATGAATCTCTGTCAAACTAACAAGCTTGGTTCTGAGAAGCAGACCAGGAGACCAGATTTATGCTACTTAAATGAAAGGAAAAAAATCACAGTGAATTTGTTTTTTGGACAGGAAAAATTCTCATTCCAGAAGCAGAGCTTCCTACTTTGGAAGACAAATATGTTAGATCCCTATGTTCTGTTTCTAAATGTACTATACTTCCCCAAGTCAGAGAAATGTAATGTCAAGTAATTTAAAAACAATTACAACAATTAGGATGAGCATCCTTAGAAAAATTCTAGAATCACAATATGGATCCAAGGTCCTAGAAAGTCTCAGTAAGAGTAGGTTATGATCACTCCTGTTAAGTCTGATCCAATGAACTGATTTCAAACATCTTTATTTATTTATTTATTTATTTATTTGTACCACAAATTGAACTCAGGACCTTGTGCTTGCCAGGCAGGTGCTATGCTGCTGAGCTATACTCCCAGCCTCAAACAACTTTAAAACATTTAAAAGTAGTACCCTTTATTCTTGTTCTTACTGTTTCAATGTCCTCTAAATGCTACTCTAAATAAATTTCAGGTTAATTACAGCTTCCCTCAAAAATTTTGAGGCTGTAGTACTCTCCAAGTACTTACACCGCTTAACTTGCAATTAATTAGCAGCTATTTGGTGCCATCTCTTATTCTATTTTCTTCAATTAGTATGTAAATCTGTGTCTTCAGAGTTCACTACTGGGAATTTCTCTTTTTTTCCAAGTTATAATACAATAGTAACTCAAGGGAAAGGACCCAGACTTATATATCTATGTGCCATAGTATGATCTATTTTGCATATAATTAGTAAACACTTAGTAAAATAGACGATAATGTTCAGTCTCTGAGACAACACTAAAGAACTCATTTATTTAGCTCCTACTAGGTACTAGACAGAATGCAAACGACTACCGATTCAGAGTGAAATAAATCATGACCCGGGTCCCCAAGGAGTTTACGTTCCAATCACAGTCACAGAAAGGAAAAAAAGTTGATACTATATTCCTAAGTTTCTGGCTTATCATCAAACACATATCATCTTAAAAAGATTACTGAACAATGAAACTAAATTGCAAAGTATCTTAGCACAGTACCTCTCAAAGTTTATGTAAGGATTATCTAGGGATCTTGTTCAAAGGAGGATTATACTTGGGAAGGTCCAGATGGAGGCCAGGAGCCTGCATTTCTAGTGAGCCATGAAACACATGTAAGGGTTTACAGAACAGCTGACCAATTTATTCACCTGCTAATAACTGAGTAAAGTAAGATACAGTAAGTAACATGCCAATGACCAGAGAACAAAGAGCGAGCTGAACTGGACCAAAATTTAGGTGTCCTGAGTTGAGACAGTGGTAACTTAAGAATACGTAACAGCTGACTTTCTGCCTTAAACAAACAAATCTGTTGAAGAGGCAAAAGTGACTTTTTAAACGATGCTGCAGATTAACATCAAGTAAGCAGGGAAGTAGGGATGAGGTGTGCCATCAGCACCCTATCATTCCTTGGTTAAGCTGCTTCTAAGAGCCCATTTTGCTTTCCTAACTTACCTGAAGTCTCTGCAGAAGCTTCAGCAAGCTGACTGTTGACTGGTTTCTTTTGTTCTAATTTCTCTAACCCAGGTTCTTCATCTGCTGGCAAGCTGTGCTTTTGGCTTGTGCCTTTGATTGGTTCTAAAGGCAATAGTAAAAACTATATGAGTTTCACAGAAACATTATTTTAGCTACCCCTCCAACCACCAGATTTTGAGAATGGTAAAAGGTTCGTGTGTGTGTGTGTGTGTGTGTGTGTGTGTGTGTGTGTGTGTGTGTGTACAGGGTAACATACTTGAGTAGGAAAGAAGAGGTGGAAACTAGTACCAAGTGAGAGGAAAGGTTGGCCCTGATTAGCAGGAAAAACGGTTTGCTTATGAAAACAGGAAAAAAGGTAGGGTCTGTGACTACAGATACAAGTCCCTTGGGTAGAGAGGTTTGGAAATTTGGAAATCTGGATGTTCTATTTTATTGCTTCAATTATTTGGAAGGAAAGCAGGAAGATCAGCAGACAACAAGGATGGACAAGATGCTGGAGCTGCAGGAGCGGAAGGCAGACAAGTGTCAAGTAGAGGAAGAACATGAACAGAGGCAGACGGCACAGTGAGCCGGCCTTCACCTTACTTGGCATAACACTGTCCCTTATCCTCTGGACACTAGACCTCAGAAACAGTAAGAGTAAGCAGAGAGGCATACCTGCTGACATCAGGCTGGGAGGTGCAGGTGACCATCCCTCACTCTGGAGGGACGCTAGCTGGGGATCTTCACTTAGCCCTTCCTGGCTCTGTGCCATCTCTGTATCTTTCTGAACTGGCGCCACCTCTGTTTCTAAGGGTTGTGAGACATCCTGGGCTGGAAGCACATTGTTAGCCAGAGTCACATCTGTGCCAGGGGGCAGCACTGCATCCTTACCCAGGGACGCCTCTGTTTGTGGAGGCGGAGATGCATCCTTGACTGAGGCCACCTCCTTTTCTAACAGTGGAGTCACATCCTTGACGTGGGCCACCTCTGTGTCTGGTGGCAGAGCGACATCCTTGCCCAAGGCCTCCTCTGTTTCTTGGGGTATGGCCCTATCTTTGTTTGGGGCCATTTCCATTTCTGGGGGTGCTGCCATATCCTTCACTGGAGAACTCTCTCTCTCTAAGGGTAGAGCTACATCCTCAGCCAAGACCACCAGGGGTTCTGGGAGCAGGACCATGTCCCTTGCCAGGGCCACCTCTGTTTCTGAGGACAAAGCCATCTCCTTAGCTGGAGAAACTTCCACAGATGACACACTGTCCTTTGCCAGTTCTGCTTCCATTTCGCAGAGTGACACCACATCCTTGGCCAGAGTGATCCCTGTGTCTGCGGGTGGAATCAGGGTCTGCTGTGGGGCCGAATCCGTTGGTGGTGCTCTCTCTATCATATCCTCCTTGCCTGGGGCCGCTTCCGGTTCTGGGCGCAGCACCTCATCCTCGGCTGAACACATATCTGCTCCTGTGTGCAGTATGACATCCTCCACTGCAGCAGCCTCTGCTTCTATGGGTAGCGCCATGTCCTTGGCTAGAGGTGTATCTGATTCAGTGGATGGCTGTGTGTCCTTGATTAGTGTCACATCCAAACTAGGGGCTTGCGCTGTATCTTTAGCCGATGCTACTTTGGTTTCTGTGGCTGGTGCCATGACCTTGGCCAGGACCACCTCTGTTTCTCTACATGGTGCCATGTCGGTTGTCTTCTGTCCTGCTATCACGTCTAATGCTTCTGTCAGTGGCTGTTCTTCTCCTGATGCCAGTTCCATCTCCTCAGCCAGGTCTAAGGGACATAAACATCAAGATCCTAAATAAATATCTAGCTGTCCACTCAGTTCTGCATTCAAAACTTACTTTCCGGGGCTGGGGATTTAGCTCAGCAGCACAGCGCCTGCCTGGCAAGCGCAAGTTCATGAGTTCAATCCCCGGTACTGGAAAAAAACAAAAAACAACAAACAACAAACAAACAAACAAAAACTTACTTTCTTATGTCATGAGAATATTTGGCTTTGGGGACTACAAAGCATAATTAAGTAGAGTTCATGGACGCTGCCTGTTCTTTGACAATCCCATCACTCAGAAGAAGAATATAATATATGATCCAAGAAGACAAGGAGCATAGGAGAAAAGGCAAAGGAGAGAAAATATAGGCTTCAAAACGCATATTACTACTCAGTAGTGAGACGGAAACCTGTCAGTACCCATCCTATCAAGAAAAAATTCCCCAGTTCTAAATCTGCCTTAAATTAAGAAGGGATCATCTTTGTTCTCGTGAGAAATGGGTTCACCTGTCCAGAGCCCCCCCCCCCCCGCCCCTCCAACCAAACAACTCCAGAGGCAGGAAGAACATCAAAAGCAAGGCTTGAATACAGTCATTATTGCAAGCCTGGGTGTCGCATAGAGAGGCACACACAGTGGTCACAGAAAATAGTTTATAACCCTAACATGCAGGGCCCTTCCACCACTGTTTTTTATTGGTTGAGAAATATGGGAGGTACAATCTTCCCAAAAAAGATCTTTGAGTTCCCTTGTCCCCTTCCAAATTGAGTTTGCATTTTTTCATAGTGTCTATTTTTTATTTGGGAATTTTCTGAGAAGCAGATATTTCAGGCAGCCTTGAACCATATTGTGATTACTATACCCATGCCTACCTTCTATACCAAGGCGCTCTCTCTCTTTTTTTTTTTTTTTTTGAGACAAGGTCTCACTATGTAGTCCAGTCTGACCTTGAACTCACTATGTAGCCCATGCTGGCCTCCAATTTATAGCAATCCTCCTGACTCAGCCTCCCTAGTGCTGGGATTACAAGTATGTGACACCACGCCTGGCTTACCAAGGCTCTCTTATTCGTTATTTTTCTTTCTCTCTAGGTCCCACTTGCCCAGAGACTCTCTAAATGCATGAACTCTGTCAGACAATTAGAAAGCTGCCAGTAATTTTGCACTCAGAGTTTAACTATTTTATCTTTTAAAATGGACCATATTAAATTTCTTTTTCTTACAGCTCTTTAACCCTAATAATTATGGTTCTACTACAATTTAATTCCCTCAGCTGAATCACTAATATAAGCTTTAAAATGTGTGTGATAGTTCTGAAAACGTTATCTTTGTCTGCTAAGAGTGTGTCTGAGGATTTACACTGACGATACTGCAACCATTAACCGAGACCATGAGTTTAAGTGATTTACCTGTGGCTGGCCATGAAGGCTCCCTAATGTCCTCTGCAGGAACAAAGGGTTCTGACTGTGCAGAGTTTGGGGCTGGCACAGACCATCCCTGAGGAGCAACAGTGGCAGGAGCAAATGTGTCACAGGAAGACATACCTAATATTGAGACATAAATAACAGAGGAAAGAAGCAATTTGCTATGTTAAAAATGTTGAACATATTATCAAGAATACATACTCCTAAAGAACAATAGAAAACAAAGCACTAAAAAAAAAAAAAAAACCAAACACACAAAAAAACAAAGCACTAAAGGGGTTTTTCTGTTTATTTATTTTGAGACAGGGTCTTACTATGTAGCCCAAGGCTGGCCTCAAGTCAGGAGATCCTCCTGCCTCAGCTCCTTGAGCATTGTGTTTACAGGAGTATGCCACCTCGCTCAGCAGCACTGAAGTTTTATTGATTGATTGATTGATTGATTGTCTTTCTGAGACAGGGTCTTACTACGCAGTTCAGGCTGGCCTTGAGCTCACTTTGTAGCCCAAGCTGGTCTTGAATTTGCAAGGATCCTCCTGCCTCAGCCTCCTGAGTGCTAGGATTACAGGCTTACAAGCGTGGGTCACCACGCCCCGGCAAATAATAGGATTCTCTTTTTTTGTTGTTGTTACTGGGAATTGAACTCAGGACCTTGCACTTGCAAGGCAGGCACTCGAGCTGCAGAGCTATATTGTCGGCCCCAGCACTAAAGTTTTAAAAGACAACACTACTGACATTCTTCAGGTTCTGCGTAGTTGTCAACAGGGAAGAAAGTATCATTACATCACAGTACTGATCAACATTTATTGGCTGTCTTCTACAAGGTATTACAAAGATCCAAAATAGGCTGGGGATTTAGCTCAGCGGCAAAAGCGCCTGCCTGACAAGCGCAAGGTCGTGAGTTCGGTTCCCGGTACCAGAGAAAAACCAAAAAAAAAAA